CTGTCTCATTTGCAGATGGAAACTTGGTGTTTCATACAGCTCTTCCAGCGCGAGCAGCTGACACTACTCTTTTCCATTTTCAGGGTCCTCCCTTCCTCCCTCTGTCACTGTGCTTGGGGAGAGCATCTGTTTCCTCACTTGGCCCAGCAGAACAAACTTTCCTCAAAGGCAAGATAGCCCTCTCTACAACCCCAGCAGCCAGCAGAGGGCGTGACACACGTGTGTGCTTATATACGGCTCCCCGCTCATAGTCACGTCCCATGAACACGGCCTCTCTGCACTTGGGTCTGACTTCTAGACCACTTCACGCTCTTTGTGATGGCAATGCCAGTCAATGCCTGTCACAATCGCACTCCTGATCAACCTAGAGCACTGTCTGCGTCCTACAGCGCATAGAGGCTTGGGAAGCCCAAGAAGGGTCCCCTCATTCTGAAAACTTGTCTGTTTCAAATCCATCTACCCAATCACCTAGGCTAAATATTACCCCATCATAACACACACACACACACACACACACACACACACACACGGCAGGGGAGCACACTTCACACTTTGTTAATCAATAATAAACCTGTCAGGAGTATTAGTAACAGCCTACTCAAGTGAAAAATGAACTGCGAACTGTGTTGTGGAATGTTAGCTGAAGATGTGTAACATTCTTTTATGCCGTGGGATGTTTGTTTAATGATGCAAATTGGGCTGCATTCTTTTACATCACATTTGTTTAACTCTATGAAGCTGTGTTACTTTGCCTGTCTAAAACACCTGATCGGTTTAATAAAGAGCTGAACGGGCCGGGCGGTGGTGGCGCACGCCTTTAATCCCAGCACTTGGGAGGCAGAGGCAGGCGGATCTCTGTGAGTTCGAGACCAGCCTGGTCTACAAGAGCTAGTTCCAGGACAGGCTCCAAAACCACAGAGAAACCCTGTCTCGAAAAAGAAAAAAAAAAAAAAAGAGCTGAACGGCCAATAGCAAGGCAGGAGAGGGATAGGCAGGGCTGGCAGGCAGAGAGAATAAAGAGAAGAAGAACAGGGGAAGAAATGAAAAAAGGTGAAGGAGAGGAGGACATCCGGGGCCAGCCACCCAACCACCCAGCTATGCTGCAAGCCAAGGAGTGTGAAGTCAAGAAAGGTCTTATCTATAGAAAGGTAAAAGCCCAGAGGCAAAAGGTAGACGGGATGATTTAAATTAAGCTAAGCTGGCTAGAAACAAGCCAAGCTAAGGCTGAGTATTCTTAAATAAGAATAAATCTCTGTGTATTTATTTGGGAGCTGGGTGGTGGGCCCCTCAAAGAGTAAAAGACAAACAACAACAAAAACCTCATCAACAGAACTGGATCTGATCAAAAGGGATAAGGGACAGGGATGTGTGAGTAAATTCAAAGTGCAGTGACTAAGTAGGGGAAAGGGTGCAGAGAGCCTAGGGCTCTCTTTTTTTCCCCTCCTGGTCTTGCTGTGTTAGGCTTTTAAAATGGAAGTAGGAACCAATCCGTTTGTGACCAGTAACCGAAAATTCTGGGCTAGCAAGCCACACACTTATCTCTCAATCACCTGCCTTTATACGGACAACATAACATTTGGGGGGAAAAAAGACCAGCGGGGTCATTCCGCCTCCCTGTGCCATCGTTCTACAGAGGAAGTTGGTCAAGACTAAGGGGGTAGAGTTCAGGTCTCACAGGTCCAGACTGGCGGGCAGTGGTGGAGTGCTTCTCTATGCGGGGACTCCCAACAGCGCACAAACAAGTCCTGACAAGCGTCTGGCCTCCATCTCAGGCTTTCCAAGAAGCCTGCTCTTTACACATAGCTTCATCTCGGAAAAGGCAACTCAAAAGATTTTCGGACTTCGAAATAGGCCTTCAATTCAGTACACAAGCCAGGTGTTAAAACATCTGTTTACCAAGGGAAACTCAGAGATAAATTTGTACATATTGTAGTTAAAGAACATAAAAACCCACAACCCTATACCAAACACACACACACACACACACACACACACACACACACACACAAAAACAAAAAATGCATTGTTGCTCTGTGGCTCAGGAGGGCGTGAACCCTACCACACTTCGGCTTGAGATCTATATAGTAGACCACTCCTGGTTTCCAGAAGGATTTTCTCCCAATAGGTGGCAAACTTACCTTCTTCTCGGACATGTTCGGAATCCTTTAGGCTTTTTGTCCAATGAGGAACCGCGAGGGTAAGTCTGGTCAGCTGGCTGAGTGCGATCAGAAGTGGAAACATAGTCTAGCAACTGTCATGCAAACTAAAACAAAAGGAATAAAGACACATGTTTTTTTTTTTTTTTTTTTTTTTAAGAAACAACAACAGCAATAACAAAGAAAACCCCTGTGCCCCCGTCTCAGTGGGTTAGGTTTGAGTGGGGACGGAGTCAGGGACCTGTTGCATCCAAAGCCGCCGTGCCACTGCGCCCCACGCGCGATATTTAATCTATCAGATCCAAGGCGCTCCAGGCAGGTGAAACCCCAAGGAGTGCCGGGGAGGAAAAGCTGCTCCCCGGAATCTGGAATCTGCGGAGGAGAGGTCGGACACTGGCCAAGGCAGACACGACTCTGGCCGGCGCAGACCCGCAACTAGATATCTGGACGCCACCGCATAGGCATCCCCTCCCGGTGACTCCCCACTTCGCCAACCCATGCGCACCTGCGTCCCCGAAAACATGTTCCACCAGGCCTTGGGCGGGAACCGAGTTGTCTCCTAGTCGCCGCGGCGGCTTGGCCCGGCGTCGCTGACGCTGTTTGGATCCTGGCGACAGTTGGAGCCTGGTTCTTCACGGCGCCCGGGTGACACCAGCGCGCAGAGGAGGCGTCTAGGATCCGCGAAGGGGCGCTCGGGGTACGTGCCCGGCGCAGAGCGCAGCCGGCGTTCCCCAGGCCGCCGTCACCGCTGTAGGACAGGGAGGAGAGACGAGTCTTTGGAGGCCACCTGGCCGAGCTCCTCCTCCCGGACTCAGACCTCCGCCCTGTGCGACCTGTTACAACGCTCTCAGCAGCTGGCGGCAAAAGCTGACCGCCTGGGGCGCAAGGGGAGTTTTCCCAATTTAGATGCAAAACTTGGGCTCCTGGGGTTACCTTTGGCCAGCCGTTCTCACGGGGTGGGAGTGGGGGGTGTCCAGGGGCGAGAACACAATATTCATCAGAGAAAAATGCACTTTGTTCGTGATTTGAATTGACACGTGACCAAAAATTAATTAATTACTTTAGTTCTTTGATGGGTTCATCAGTTCTGGGATGTCTGTAGAATCCTTTCAAGATGTCTGCTATGTCAAAATTTTTTTCCATGATGAGAAGATAACAAGGCATACTTTCACCTCTTTCACTTTCATATTCTCTTTCTTTCCCTCCCTCTCCCTCCCTCCGTCCTCCCTCTCATTTACAGTGGAAATTTCCAGAAGCTATTTGACATGCAATGATTTCATCACTCTGCTAACGAATAAAACACCAGTGGATGAATGTTTGTGATTTTTAGTACCTCTCATTCTACCAGGTTAGTGTCCGCATGCAAATTTAAGTAGACTTTAACAAATTGTGCCCATTCTCAGTATGTTTCTGCTTTTATTAGGTATTTTTGGTCATAGCTCCTGGGACAACTAATAACTTCATCCTTCTTGGACAAGTAATCTTAGGTCTTGAACTTTTCGTTGAATTTTTCAGAAACAAAAAGAACAATAAGCTCACTTCGTTGTCCTGAGCTGAAGTAAAACTTTGGAAATGCCTCTTTTAAAATGTTATGTGAGGAATATCATTACAAATAAATAATTGAAGATGCCCTGAGCTCACCGTTTGAGAATGAAGATAGGGACCGTGCATCTCCACATTCTTCATGGCCAAGTCACATGCTCTGTCACTCTTGGGACAATATTTTACATTCTGTTCTCTGGCCAAAGTGGCCTGGAATTTGGTAAAGGTGAAACAAGACGAAATACCATTTCGACTCCTTTCTATTCTTCAATTAATTCTTTTTTTCCTCCCCACAATGCTATTATCTATTTTATTTTGATTAATGGAGCCAAGTATTTTCCCTAATTATCCATCAACACTTTTTGTTCCTTCTAAACAGTGTCTGTGCCCACGCCTTTCCCTTCTCATTTCCGCCTTGGGTTTTAAACCGTCTGGATAATGAGTCTTCTTTCCCCCTTGTTTAAGCAATTGAGATCAGACTATGGAGAAGACAGAAATTTCTTTTTGCTGAAAACAAGAACCGGAAATACCTTCCTGAGAATTAGCCATTCTTCTGCTTACTCGGTCAGTCCACTACTGGAAGCCCTGACCTTGGAGAGATAAACTTCATTTTCCTTCGGGAGAACTGGATCTTTCTGAGATCTGTATCTAAGAATGCAGGCCTGTCAAGTTCTCCTAGACAAGAGCAGATTTCTTTACTTCTTTCACAGTACTCAGAAAAGGGCCCTCCTCATTTTTATATTCAGTACACTCTTTCTTTCTTTCTTTCTTTCTTTCTTTCTTTCTTTCTTTCTATTTATGGGGGAGGGGTCGAGACAGGGTTTCTCTGTGTAGCCCTGGAAGTTCTGGAACTCACTCCCTACACCAGGCTGGCCTTGAACTCAGAGATCTGCTTGTCTTTGCCTCCGGAGTGCTGGGACTAAAGGCAAGTGCTACCACCGAGATTTCAAACAATGTGACTTATTCATATTCCCCTCTCCTACCCCACTCCTCCCATATCCTCCCTCACCTCTCTACCCACCCAACTTTGACTCCCCCCAGTCTAATCCAGTTTACATTGTCCAACTGCTTTTGGGAGAATGGTTTTCCCTGCCCTATCAGGAATCACACATCCTTAAGGAAAACTGAAGAATGCGGATGGCTCCTCAGCTGATGCTGGGCTCTTGCCTGGCTTGAGCTTTCGAAGGAGGGTCTTGGGTTTGTTGTCAGCTTCATACTCTGTTAGGAAAGGCGCCTAGTGGGAAGCTCCCTGCTGTGAGGTCAGCAGATGGGAATCTGACAGTATTCTTTGATAGAATGAGTCTACCCACATCTCTGGAAATTTGGGCTCAGACAATTGAGGCTTTGTGCTGGCAACAGATAACAGCCTTTATTCTGGCTGAGAGGGAAGTCAGAAAGACAAGGCTGTTTCTCAGTGGTGAATTTCAGCCTGCATGTTTCCTAAGAAGGGCACAATTGGCGCTCAACCACTATGGAACTCAGATATTCCAAGGTTAGCTGGGGGAGTGGGGAAGCTAGTAGCAGACTCTTGATTTCTTCTGTTGTTTACTTTCTGCATTTGAATTTTTATTTTACTTTTTAAAAATAATCACAATATTCTTCCACTTTTTTTCCTAAAGTGTTTTAGGTTCTCTCCTAGACAGTGTTTCTCTTACTCTGGCGTCTGTGTAGTTGGGTCAGATGCTCTGATGCTCATTTCACACAGAGGGACAGCAAAACATGAAGAAGTGAATGTGAGGAGCCGGGGTCTGGACTCTTTTCAGTGCTTGCTTTGAATTATTAAGCAATGAGGCCTATGGGCAAAGAATTATTTAATTTCAAAGGAAATAAGAGAAAACAAAAACAGAGAGCCATGCGATTAATGGACTTGGTTGATGTGTTGGTGCAGCTCTGGGTTTGAGCACATCACGCCCACCCACTCAGCTCTGTGAATTCAAGAATGAAATAGAAACTGGCTTCTGTGTGGGCACGAGGATGGACTCAAGGCTGTGACGGGAAATGCTCAGGTCATGGTCATGAAGCTCTTCGATGTAGGGTCACATCCACGTCCTAGGAGACACACGGCTGACTGTAGCAATGGACTGTTTGGAACAGGAGAGGAACTGAACATATGTTCTGTGACATTTAGCCTTGACATTTCAACAGCAATTGGCTGCGGTTTTAATTTTTCCCAGTAAAATCAGCAAGCAGAAAAGAAAAGACTCCTACGGCTCGACATGAATTGTGTATCCGTGTGCAGGTATTTTCCAGAGCTATTGCATAGGGGCTAAAGAGTCTATTTTAAACATTTGCCAGGGGCGCCCTTGGGAAACTTTTGACAGAGTTTAGATATAATTTCATCATTGAAGAGCAGTGATCATTAATAGGAAAACAATTCAATGAGATCAAGCACCCTGAGAAATGTCATCTATTTCCTCTCATGCTATGGACCATTATGAGAACCACATGTTACGATTAGAAAATATATAAATAACCCGATAGTCCTTCCAAGGCACTCGGGAACTTGAAATGGTGTGGTTTCTGAGCTGCCCCCAGGGCCCTGTGACAAGGACTTTTGTCACTGTTTGTCACAGAACTTTCGGTGTGCATGTGGACGTTGCATTTTTTTTTTTTTACAGCTGTAATTAGTTAATTACTCCTGCCTAAACCTCTCGAAACTGGTATTACAGGTAGTCACCACCACTCCTGGTGACACACAATTCTTCTGGCTTCTTTTGTAAACACATATTCAAATAATCTTAGTATTCTGAATGGACAGATTTTTTAATGCAGATTTTATGCAGAATCATTTGCAAAAGCATACTTTCCATACAGGGCACATATAGGACCTGAAGCAAGCCATGCATTTCTGTCCGTGAGGCACCCACGCGTTAGCATAGGTAAGAGATGCAGTCACCAGGAGAGCGTTTGTCTAGCTTTTGGAAGGCACTGGGTTCCATTCTCCACACCAGTAGGATGAGGAAGAAACCACATAGTGAGTTCCTATACTCTTAACTACTCTGGAAGCGGAGGCAGGGGGATCATGAGCTTGGAGTCACCTGGGCAGCACAGCTGTACAGCACAGTAACGCAGTGGCAGTGGGGCTGCTCCTGGCTGACAGACAGGTTGCGCGGGAGCCCTCCTAGGTAACGTGAACACAGGGTTCCTTTGTTCTCTTTTATTTTATACTGAGTTATTTCTTAGCATCCTGTCTTAAACTCTCAAATGTTAAGATATGGAGTGTAGGTTTTTCAGTAATTTGCTGATTGTTCTTCCCATCTGGATAGTCTTGAATCACCTGCTTTTTTTTGTAATTTGGGGATTTTGTTTTTCCGTTCTTATTTTTGTTTTGGATATTTTACTGTGTACCCTAGCCTGACCTTGAGCAGGAAAGGAGTTTTCCTGCTCTAGATGGGTGGGATTACAGGCAAGCGCCAGCATGTGCGCATAATTAAGGACTTCTATGATTTTTTTAAAAACTGTTCTACTTCCTCAATATTCCTTTTTAAAGATTTAGCTTTGAAAAACATAAAGAATACATAATTATGAACACTGTCTTTTCTGACTTCCTGTTCCCTTTCTCTCTCTGTCTCTCTGTCTGTCTCTCTGTCTCTGTCTCTGCTTCCCATGCTAATGAAACCTGTCAGCTTCCTGCCCCTACTGCTGTGCCATGGTTTCCCCACCATACTCTACTCCTGGAACTGTAAGCTGAAATAAACTTTCTTCTCTAAAGAAAAGAAAGAGAAGGAGGAGGAGGAGGAGAAGAAGAAGAAGAAGAAGAAGAAGAAGAAGAAGAAGAGAACAATGTCTTTTCTTTATAAAGTCTCAATGTCTTTTCTTTATAAAGTCTTACACATTAAAAATTCTAAATGAATTAAATTATTTATTAAGAAATTATCTTTGGGCTAGGCATGGTAAGGTATGCCTTTAACGTCAACATTAGTGAAGCAGAGGCAGGCAGATCTCTGTGAGATTCTGTCTCAAAACAAATAACTTATTTTTTAATTTAAAATTAAAAATTTTATGTGTATGAGTGTTTTGCCTATATATAATGTCTTTGGACCACACATGTACCTGGTGTCTGTAATTACCACAGGAGGGTGTCGGACCCCCTGGAACTGGAGTTACAGACAATTGGGAGCTGCCAGGAGGGTGCTGGGAACTGAGCCCAGGTCCTCTGGAAAAACAGCCAGTGCTCTTGACCATTGTACCATCTCCCCAATCTCAAGACTATTGCTTTTGATATCCTGTTCTCTTTTTGTTTTTGTATATTCCTTTTCTCCCTTCCCAATTTTAACTTTTTTCTCCTTTTTTTTTAAATTTTTTTTAATGGTTTATTTAACTTTATTTTATGTGCATTGGTGTGAAGGTGTCAGATCCCCTGGA